AATTTTTATATTTTATATATGTTAATAACAAAAAGAATACTTTTAAAGATACATGTTAAAAAAATTATATTTCAAAAATATAATTTATAATTGAAAATATATCAAATTATATAATTTAAAATTAAATAAAAAGTGACTTCATTGATATTGGGAATGTGCTTTATAATCTTGTGTTATTCATATTAAATTTATAATTTTATAATCCTGAATTATTTATATTATAAAACAAAAAACTCATAATTTTTTTTATTAAGATAAAGTTTTTGTAATATTTATTTATTGTCACGTACATTATAAAGTATATCATGCTCATAAACAACTTTTACTGGTTAAGAATATCATGTTAACAACATATTCATTAAAAAAATTTATCTTTTATAAAAAAACAATTATCTAAATTTATGTACTCTATTATTAATTTATGTTTTTTTTTTTAGATTATCAAATGCCTTATTCAGCAGAAATACTCCCCACATTTATTCAAAATTTTAACTTGAAAATACCTGCAACATAATACTTTAAGACTCTTTACCAAATGGAAAAATGAGTTCATCATATCTTTTTCCTTTTTCTTAATAACCACTACGACTAAACGAATCATGAATTTATTTTCGATATTTTTTTAGGTCTACAGTAATACTGCCACCAAGAGAGAATACCCTTTTGCTATATTTTTTTTTTTTTTGAACATATATGCAAGAGGCGGATTTCAAACCTAGTCCAGAAGAGGGGGGAATGCACCGAGATGACTATTGCCATTAGGCTTCAAGGGCCAGGTGCACCCTTTTGCCAATTTTTTAAAGCGAAAATTTGAAATTTGTATGCTTGTCCCTCCCTTCGTGGTGTGGAGGTTCATTATGATAATTTTTTCGTTTTTGAAGTCTTGGTCGGTGTGGCCCTGTGCTTTTAAATTAAAGAACATCGGACAAATTTCTTAAAAAATAAGACGACAAGTCGACAACCAATACACATCAAATCGAAGGGGTTGTGGCCCTACTTACTCCTTGTTAATAACATGAAGAGTAAGGATGGCGATAGACCTCACGGTGCCGAGGAGAAGCTCCCCATCCTCATTCTCGCAAACGACGGAGACAAGAATCCCTACATAAATTTTTTATGAGGGGTAGATTTTGTCCCGCAAGGAATAAGGCATATTGCCACCCGAAAAGGCAAGTTTGGAGGGTTAAACCCCTTCAATTACATTTCTCCATTTCTCAATTATTGATATGTTTGGTTTGAGAAAATATATAGATATAAACACTGTCTTTATTTAGTTACCAATAGAAATTAGAGGAGAGGGAAGCAAACAATCTTCCTTTGCTTTTTTCTTTTTTTAATTATAAGAAATAAATATTATATTAAATATAAAAGAGAGATTGTAGATGAATCTTTAATTCAAGGTATCTAAAGCTAATAGAAGTCCACTTACGTCACTAGATGCAACTACAATTTGAGCCAATAGACATTTAGAGAGCCACTATACCTGGAGATTGTCATGTAATTGTTATAAGGACATAAACAAAGTTACAAAAGTCGGAAAAAATGTAAATATGAGCATCATAAACTACTGGACATTCCCAACTACTATGCCAAACTTCAAGAGAGATCAAGTAATCTAATAAATAACAATCCCCATCCACTTGTCACTAAATGCTTAATCAAAGAGGAGATGCACTAGCTTAAAGAAGAGTTGGAGTCTTCTTCAAAGACCAACCAAGTTATACTTGAATTAACTCAAAAGAAAGTCACCACCATGTTGTCATCCTCTTTAACCTAGGGCAACACCTAGTGAAAACCATTGAGAGAACCCAAGCAAAAACTCGTAAAAAGGGGAGAGACTCCCACCAAAGAGAAACCTCAAAGAGAGAGAAACTCTTGCTTTTATTCATCCTCCTTAGTGGTTGAGAGTGGGAGGTGACAACTTGGGGGAGAAGAAGAAGAAAAGAGGGCAACAACTATAGGAGAAAGGAGAGAGAGGCAATAGGGTTAGGAGAGAGAGATGGACTCCTTTGCTTGATTTTTTAATTGCAATTCCTTAATTTAATTTAATGTATCCTTCTCATTCTCTTCCCTCCCTTCTATTATGTTTCTCTTAAATCAAACATACTCTTAGTTCAAAACATGAGGATGTGTAAATGTATTTATATATGGTTATCACTTATCAATTTAGGAAAAGCATCTTGTTTGGTTTGAGGGGTGTTGGGACCAATCAAATTAGAGGATTGGCAATCAAATTAAAACATTGCCAATGCTCTAATTTGATTGGTCCAATTAAACTTCCCTCCCTTCTCCTCAAACAAAAAAGACTCTTAAAGTTTAAATTTTAAGACAAGCAAAATTAAAGGAATTAAAATAAAAAAGAAAAATAATCCCTAATTATTATAAAAAAAACCATCAAAAAAAAAAAAAAAAAAATAAAAAAGAAACACTATCATGATATCTAGCTAGCTATGTTTGTAGCTCCTTGGTGAACATTCTGATAATTAAGAATTTGAAACTTTTATGTTGAAAGATCTTAAGTTGGATTTTTAAAATGAAAGTTCTATTAAAACCCTAGCCATCCTCTCCTTTCCCTCTCTCCCTTGGCTTCTCTTGTTTTCTCTTGCTCACCTTCCCCTAATTGTTGAGGGGATAGTTGCCATCCCCCTTAGTAGTGGCTAGGGAGATAAATAACAAAGTAGAATTATGTCCCTTAAGGGTTTCTCTCTCTCTTAGGAGAGTTTCTCCCTCTTATAGGGGTCTCTACTTGAGTTATCTTAATGTTTTGTTAGGTTGTCCACTGATGGGGAAGAAGGACAACAAAAACGTGGTTGTTCAACTCAAATGGGTTATAGCACACACATCTTCGTTGTTGATCTTCAAGATCAATGCTCAGTGGGTAGGGATTGTCAATTGACTAAAACTTGCTCTCCTCTAAAGTTGGCATAGTAGTTGTGATTATTTAGTAACTTAAGCCACTCACAATGGTTATCTTTTTACTTAGGTGCCTCTGCTATCGCCCTTACTTTGATTTTTTAGATCCTTATTAAGTAATAATTAGGCTCTCTACACTTAAGTATTTAAATATTTTATTGGCATAGCTTTAATAACTTATTCTACAGTTAAGTTTCTTTTACCTATTATTTTAAGATATAAAATTATTTTATGTAATTTAATGATAATTTTTTTTTATCAAAAGTTAGAGATCATGAAATCGAGTTATGTGACGTGCAAATAAGGTGAATTAAGGGATAAGAAAGGGTTTGTCAAATTGAAGAGGGTTATCTCCCATTATGTAACCCAAAATAATATATATATCCTAAGTACTCTTTATTCTATTAATGAATTTCATTATATTCCATAATATATATATATATATATATAAAATCAAAGTTCTATCCTCCAGTATATTTCTGCCATATATAGTGCCAAACGTTTAAAAAGCTAGCTAGTTATAAACAACAAATCAGCGAAGCACCTAGGACTAGGAGGCAGCCAATCCCACGAATCACACCAATCAGTCACGACAAGGGCGGGTGTATCCATGGGGGTCCTAAACGAAACATCCTGGAAGGAGCTGATATTTTTGCACTACAAGCAAATCAAAACAGCTCTCTGTTTTATTTGCCTTTCCCCGTGACCACGTTAATTATATCCTCCACTCAACTGGGCTATGGACCATCTAATCCTTGTTTCTTTCATTTCATGCCCTTTGTTTAAAAAAAAAAAAAAAAATTTCTTATTGGATGCTACCTTTTTGATAAAGAAAGGAGGGAGGGCAATGGCAATGGGCATTCTGCTACTAGTTTTTGATGGGGTCTGGCTCCTCGTCTCGACGATCTGGGATCTTCAGGAAATGCGGTTCGAAGCAATCTTCAACGACATGAGTTCTTGTACACTGACACTCATCATGGCTACTGTCTCCTGTTTTATGGCTACCAGGAGGAGATACTAATAATAATTTTAAGGCTTCGGTGATCAGTTTTCCATATATTGGCTATCTAGCTAGGTTTCAATCCAAAATGCTGTTTCGTACGTCGTGAAGGATTAGTTTAACTATATATTCTGCAATAGTCATGCATATGTACTTACTTATGATTAGTAAGCTGCAACAAGCATTGCCAGTCACGGAGTTAGCTAGAGCGTAGCGGCATTTGGTTTTCCTTCAAAATCTTGAAATTTATCATTACTGCATATGTTTCTCAAAATATCATTACTGCATTGGAAAGTCTATATTTTTGTTATACATTACAATGATTCAAGCATCAATTTGCACAAGGATACTTCTACCAGTTGTGTCTTTTGTTACAGTAAAATTTACAGTCGTTGAGGAGTTGGTCCTTGGATGGTTAACCGTTGCTACATAATCTCCATGAAAAAGCAAAACTTCAGAAAATCCTTCATCATCTCCTGCAATTTCTAGATCCCCAGATGTCCATTCATCAATTAGCTTGTCCACAACATCTCCAACTTCAGTGTTTATGAAGTCTTCACCAGCCAGTGTCATGTTATAAAACCCGGATACTTCTGGACCCCCAAAAATGATAATCCCTTCAACTGCAGGATGAGAGAAGCCCTCCCTTAGTATCTCCTCCAAGTACTTTGCCTGTTAGAATCATTCAGATTGTCACATCATTGCTGAAGAAACATAATTCCTTGGTAGGATCAGGGAACGTGTACAACTATTTCCACGACAGGATTTGCTGCGTTGATAAAATCCTACTCGTAGGTCTTACAAGTAGAATTTTCTGAATATACTGCGTGACCTACAAGTAGGATTTTCGGTATGTAGCAAATTCTGTCGTGGAAATGGCCTTATTCATCACCTAATTAAAAGATGTGTTATTAGTACATTACATTGGAGGAATGTAATACCTGATCAGGACTTTTGTGCAAATCCACTTCTGTAAGCCAAATAGGCAACCCCATTGTTCCTAGTATATCCAATTCACATCTCATGTAAGCAATGTTTGGTTGGCCTGAACCAAAATGTCCCTGTAGTCCAATTCCAGCCTTAACATTTTCATTCCCTGGGAAGCCTAGAATCTCTTCAAGTTTCTTCTTATACCTAACTGCACTACTATCCTGATCCGTGCTGTCTTCTATAGTATTATACTCATTCATAAACAGGATGGTATCCGGATCCAGGCTGTATGTCATTGAGTAGAAGACAGCTGAAGCATTTTCTCCAAGATTATCCTCAAAGAACCTGAAATGCAGATTCTCATTCACAACATCCCATCCAATTAACTGCCCTGCATACCTTGAAACCACTGAGTTTACCCTCTGAATTGTTGCATCCCTCAGCTCATCAGGGGGAAGGTCCTTAACCCAATCAGGCTGCATTTTGGGGTTATCCCACAGGATGTTGTGGCCCCTTATGAAAATCCCATTCTGTTGGGCGAATTCCACCATGGCATCTGCAACAACATAGTTTTCTTCTCCTTGTTTCTTCTCGGTGCTGTACCATTTCATTTCATTGGTAAAGCTGGTGAACCTGAATCTCGAGGTGAACCAGTCCTGATAACCTGTGCTGTTGAGGATTTTGTGGTTTATTCCACATCCGAAGGGGAAGCCTGGCTTGGTTTGCTTGATGGATACTATAGCACCATCAAGTGCAGTTTCATTTGCATAAGTTAGCTGCAGACTCACTCTACTTTTTCGAACCTGCAACATAAAAATTAAGACCATATGAATTTATAAAACTTCCATCAAATTTCCCGAATCCAAAACAAGAATTTCTACTAACAGGAAACATTGCAAAATGCATTTCTCGTTTGCTTTCTTTTAGGCATAATGAATTCAATTCAAAGTTATAACTAGTAAAATTCTCAGCCATATATGCCTTTCTTCGGTTCTTACAGTTTAGGTCTCATCAGGTTCAACTTTCAAGAACTAAACTAAGTTCATTATTTTTACAATATAAAAGATAAGCCAGTCATGCCAAGTTAGCATTAACTAGAAATTGTTTAGAAACCGAACCATTCTTATATATATATAGGGTTGAGGTGTTTGCAGCCCTTGCAGGAAGGACTACAAAACACGAACCTCATGTTTAAATTACCTTGTTGATGCTTTCCTCTTGGTGGGTTCTCCACTGTTCTGGAGTGAATGGTTGCATAGAGAGACTATCGGCCCATATATCCACTCTTGTATTCCTGCACTGCACTCATGACAACATGACATGAAATTTTGGAATATATGAAATAAAATCCAACTGTTTTCACAGTTCTTCTGTTTTCAATTCACCTCAAGAAGAATCTCAACAGGGCTTGAGAAATTTGCAACAATTCCACCCTTTAGCAACGACCAGCATCCTTGTTTCGCTACTACTTCACCTCCAGGGATCAATGTACCCTCAGAAGTTTTGAACATAACAGAAACTATTTCACTTTCATTTTCACTCCCTTTGCTGATTTGGATCCAAGCTGAAAATGAATCAAATCCAGGCAATCAATTCTCGCAAAAGGGCACATGACTAGATGGGAAAAGATTTATCATATAAATTACCTGAAAAACTATACAAGTTTCCTTTCTCAAGTTGAACTTTCTGGGACAAGCTGTCCAATGAATTTGTTCTGTTTTCTACCATCACAAACCTGTTTCCAGTTTCTGATATACCTTCCTGGATTACTGCTCCTCCGAATGGTGACCACCCTTCTGTGCCATAATTGAACGCAGGATTGACTATTAGCCCTCCTCGGTAATGTGCTCTCTCAGGCTCAACTAAACACTGCTTCATGGTAGAAGAAAGCTAATAAGAAGCTGAGAACAATCTGGACCCTAATAGAAGTTTGAGAGAAGAATATGTATTTTTGCTGTAGTGATGTAGATGGAAGAAGCAAAACACTCTCGGTTTTTTAGTCTCTGCGAAGCATGGAAAAAAGTCCATCACTAGGAACTTGCACTTGCCTTTGTTGTTGCGGAATAGTCATATGAGACACCATTGATGCAACATCCTGCATTATCAGTTCAGACTTCAGAGAGCATCCACAAATAGATAGTTTCATGCTTCATATATATGTTTCCATAGCTTGCAGGGCTGCGTTTGTGCCCGATGCAGGAGAGTAAGAGTGAATAGACAGACCTGAAAAAAGCAGAATGCTCGAAAGCACTAAGATGAAAATCTCTGCAATCTTCATCTCTTAGACAAGTTTTCCTTGAAGTAAAGCAATGGCTGAGACTTGAGCTCGAGAATCAAGGCAATAATAATAAAAACTTTAGAGACAGGACAATTTTAGATAAGGCAATTTATGCCATTGAATAAAGCTAGCGACTTCTGTTGACCCGTGAAGAATTTTCGGAGTTATATACAGAGATGTGCTGGAATTGGACATGGAGTAAAACTTAGGAAATTGAAATTAAGGTTACATATTAAGTTAAAACTCAGTGTTATTGTTCTTTTGGGGCAGCTACATGTCACTACGTCATACAAAATTCCAGAAAGCACGGCTGAGCAAAGAGCTCTAAGTAGGCACTAACTAGGGAGTTAATATGTATTCATGGTCCTTTTCTAAGCTGCTAGCTTGCTAATGGTGGAATCATTCCCCAAAGCATGCTGTCTTAAGTTCTTTCTTTCTCTGGTCCTCAATTAAATCCTTCTAAATGTCAGCTTGCGTTTGCATTATAAAAGTTGGGAGCATTTGGTTAGTGTTACATTATTGATGTGAGAAAATTTTAGAGTTATCTTATGCAAATGCAACCTACGTAGCCAAACCGACCTATAATAAGTAAAATTTTGGAATATTTAATGTCTTTCCTTAAGATCATAGCCAATGGGAATTGCCGCCACTTCTGTTTTCATCTTAATTTCTTTTGCCTTTTTAGAGAGTGCTCATCTACCTTGGAAGTTACAAGTAACTAGCCAATCAACTATGTCTACCAGCGATATACTACATGTGTCATTCCCCAAATATGTATTAGAATGACCCAAATGACCTACATCATTAATGAAGAGGCAGTTTATATGATATAACAAGGCCCCCCATATCTCAAAGTGGAACAAGTGCAATGCCACAGGCAAAATATGCTCAAAATTATAATGTTCTTCCTTTTCAAGATATAAAATCTCAGAAGACCTCAAAAAATAGAGCAATTCCAGAAACAAAGTGGGATGCGTGATGTGTGATTTTGCCCTCCTAATACCACGAGGGAGGGAAGCCTCGAAGGAGCAGTTAGGATCTGTTGATATATACCTCAGCTGTCTTCCAAATTCTTCCCAAGAAGAAGTTGAATCTAACTCTAGAATCTAGACTACAAATTGATCCTTCTTCGCAAATGAAAAAAGTCCAACATCAGAATTCAGCTATGAGAAAATTGTTAAATTTGAACGTGTTGTCTACTTTGTACCTGAGCAATTTAGTACACCACATAACACAACTAAGCTTATAAATTCAGCTTATAATCTCTTTTTTAGCAGAACTGGCACCGTGAGCCATACTTTATTACTCAGCATCTCTTCAAACATTTCTTTTGTTAATGAAACTTTCATGCAAGTTATAGATTGCATTGAAGTATATATCGGAAAGTTGAATTCGAAAACAATAAGAGGAAACTCAAAGTTACAAAAATAAAAAATAAAAAAAGTTATGCAATTTAGATTATATGATTTAAACCATTGAATGATGAGAGTTCCTAATATTGGGAGCTGCCTCATCATCCAAAGGTTTCTGTTTTTGCAGTTTAGTATAGTTTACAACAAAACAAAATTCTCTTCTAGTAATTGTTGTGTAGTTGGTATGGTCTTTTGTTTTTTAGGTATTGCAAGGATGAAATGTCACCGGCCTTCCCACAGGCCCATTGGCTAAGTACTTGAACTTAAGCTTCTGAGTTCAAGTGTTATGAGTCATGGGTCTTGGGTTCAAGGACTGGTAAGAGAAACAAAAGGAAAATGAACTACCTGAAATATGAGGTATTCCAAAATACCTTCATTTTGCTTTTCGTTTTTTTTTTTTTTCTTTTACTAATAATTATTCATTGACAATGTTTACTATTGAGTTGGTGTATATAAATTCATGTGTCTTGTAGAACAAAAATAGTAAATAGTCACTTTTGTAAGGTTTATATCTCTTTCTCAAAAATAATGGTTCGAGTCGATCTCATGATTAAAATGTTAAAAAAAAAAAAGAAGAGTAAATTAGAGTATACAAATTGAATTGAAGTTTGGGTGAATATAGTGAAGAGGAAGTCATTAAACTCTTTCAAACATGGAAGGATAGATTGTTTTACAATGTCCACGTTTCGTTACAGAAATTGTTTGTCTGCCATTGACTTACTAAAAAATTGAGTATATATATATATATTTTTTTTTTCAAGCAATGATTTGCACCAACCTCTCCATGACTCTGTTGGTGGAGACTTCGACTCTTTGAGCTAAGAGTCCGGGGTTCAAAGGCATGGCGAGGGTGAGTAGAGAAAGAGATGGAAATCAATTAAGAAAACAAAATATAAAGGTATTCTAAAATACCTTCTCTTTTTTGTTGGGTTAAAATTTTAATTTGGTTCTTTATTTTGATAAAATATTTTTTTTAATCTCTTACTTTAAAAAAATTCTTTTTTTCTTAAAATTTGAAATTTGATACTTTTTTAGTTCTTTTATTAAATTTTTCTCTCATGACACATTATTTTAACAAAAATTTTGAAATAAAGAGATTAAAAAAGATTTTTTGATCATTTTATTTTAAAATTTTTCTTATCTAATGTGTCATATGCGTAAAAATTAACAAAATATCT